GGCCAAGCCCGGCCGCGGCGCTGCTGGGAGCCAAGAGGCTCCTGCTGCCCGTTTTGGGCAGAGCGGATCCCGAGAGCTACTGCCCTGCGCACGCTCACTTGTATTTGTTGTCTTCCGTGGGCTGAGTTTTCGGCGGGGACTCGAATCGAGCGTACTCCTGGTCGTACCACATCTGATAAAAATAAGTTCTCCCGTCGTCTTCCACCATCTTGATCTCCATGTCCAGCCCGCCCTGCTAGGAGAGAGGTGTTCACAGGGATCGGTGCCGCTGCCCGCGCCGTGCCTGGCCCGGGCCAGCCGGGGTTTGCAGGGCTGTCACCCACCTCCATGGACCAGTTCTCCGAGGGCGCCTTGTAGATCACTTTGACTTTGCCGTGGATGTAGGAGAGCTGCATGTCCTCGCACTCATCCACCAAGAAGAGCTCCAGGGGGTCAGAGGTGGCCCCCAGGACGGTGTCCGAGCCAGGGCAGAACCAATGCGCGTGGAACATCTGACCGCTGCTGTCCTCCCACATGGCTGTCACCCTGAGGGGGAAGGAGCCAGGGTTATGGGGCACCAGGAAAGGGCTGAGCTGCTCTGAGCCTTGGCCGGAGCCGGAGAGTCCTCAAACAGCAGCACGGCCAAGCAATTAGGGTTCTCTAATTGGGAACGTCAGCCGTCCCCACACACGTCCAACCCCAGCGGGAGCAGAGACTCGTCCCCTTCAGCACCACAGCACCGACCTGGCGAGGTAGAGGGGCTTGGTGGGATCGTCGGGGCTGACGGAGACGCAGTCTCCCACCTCCAGGGTCTCCGAGTCAATGCAGACCCTCTGGTAGTAGTCCTTCTTCCCATCGCTCTGCAGAAGCAGGGGGACAGCAGAGAGCACTGTTAAACCCCCACGCCGGCGAGCAACGCAGCCCCCTTCGCAGCCCGAGCGCCCACCCCAGCCCCGGCAGCGGGAGGGGAGCGGGGTCTTGCTCAGCCTCACCTTGATGGGCTCCCCCACCCAGGAGATACGGCTCTTGTTCTGCTTCTTCTTCCTGCCCTGCAGCATCTTCTTGGGCGATGGCATCTCGGGGATGTTGTCGTCCACCTCCTCGTCCTCATCAGCTTCCCGGACGGCCAGGTTGGGACACCTGGGGACACAGGGACCGTCACCGCAGCAGCACACGGCGTGGGGACCACGTCCGCTCTCTCCGGAGGCGGAGAGGGCTTTGGCAGGAGACATCGCTGCCGGGGGGGGACCCCCCTCCTCTGCAAACAAGCCTGCTTACTCCGTCCGCTGCCCCCAAACTTCACCATGTTCTGGCAAGCCTTGCACTTCCCGCACTCGGGCTGCTGGCAGACCTGGAGCAGGGCGAGGGGACGGGCTGAGCACGGGCAGACGCAGCAGAGATGCCCCAGGCAGGAGGGACAGGGACCGAGGGGAGCTCAGTGGCCTCGGGAAATCGCTCCCTTGCCCCAAGGGAGCGATGGAGTACCCATTCAGGTAGGATGGAGGGGACGGGGCAGGGTAGGGGTGGGGGATCAGGTCATTTCGGCTCCGTGCCAGCCCCCCATTACCTCGCAAACGCCACAGCGCCGGCGCTTCATGGCGTTCTCCTTGTCATCTTCTTTCTCGTCCTTCTCGATCTGCTCCGAGAAGAAGGTGTCGAAGATGAGGTACACCAGCTTGGTGGTGGTGGCTTTGGTGGGACCCTTGTCCTTGTCTATTTTGGTGGGGTGGCGGATGGCCTGCCGCCTGACAGCTCGCCTGCGACCAAGGTGAGAGTGGTGAGAGGGGACTCTGTGCCTCGTATCGCTGACAGCTACAGCCACAACGAACAGCCCGGCACCCAAGGAGGGTCCCCAGGGAACAGAGCTCTCCCCGGGGCACCCAACAGCCGAGGACGACGGCAGGATCCCCTAACAGGCACCCAGGTACGTCCCGCGGCTGGCACGGGGTCCCGAAGGGATGCTACAACAGGACAAAGAGCAAAGCCAGGCTCCGGGGACCCAACCCAGTGCCTTTCCTCCCTCGGGGCAGCACTAGGCAGAGGGTTTTCCCAGTTTTGGGAGGATTTCTACTCCAATCTCCCAGTGCTGCTCATGCCACTGAGCTTAAATCCTCAGGTCATCCCAGCTGGGAACAAGCAATAGGGTTTTCCTGGAAGGATCCCCTGTGCAAAGCCGACGGGGAGCCAACCCGCCGGGCTCCTCCTGGGATGCTGCAAAGCCAAGTGCCCCACAAAAAGAGCATCTACGCGGGGACACGGGGCTCACCTCTTCCCCAGGGTGACTCCAGCCAACTTGATCAAGTCCCTCATGCAGGGCGTGATGAGGACGGGGGGTTCGTCGCTGTCCCCGGCTTCGTCGTAGCTTTCCACCTGCTCCACCACGAACTGGGCATGTCGCAGGAGCGAGTCCTCTGTGAAGCGGTTGAAGTTCAGCCCCGCGGGAGGTACGGTGGTCTGCGAGGAGGTCGGGGGGGTG